AATTTCCGTGTTGCGATAGTCAAATGCATGCCTAATAAGTGATAACAACTGAATAACAAGAGTTGGTTAAGTCAAAATGGTTGGCCTGAGTCATTAATTCAACTGAAAATGTTAAAAGTTCACACATAAAATCCACATAATACAACGTTTGCATTTAAAAATCACCTAAGTTAACAGTCCCAAAAGGTGAAGCCAGTTGTGATTGGGATTTTAAAGATGATTACCTTTTGCTTGACACCATATGAGCTTTGGATTTTGATGAGGATCCATATTTTGGTAGAGGAAAAGATGATTGTGATGGCACTGGTGATCCACATGTCAACCTTGTATGACCACTTTCCTTGCACCGACTACATGTCGATCTCTTCTTCTCTTCACCCTTAGACGGTATACGATCGTGACTTTTTGGTCGGCCAGGTAGCCTTCTGTCCATGGCTGGTGGCAAAACTGTTTGTAAGTCATCTGGTATGTCCCACTCAGAAGGATGTGGAATAGGGTAGACAATCTCGGCATAAGTCTGTCGATAAACTTCTGTAGTGTAGCAATCCATAGCGTATGCGCTTGAATCATCTTGGTTTAAATGAAGAGCAACTTTTATAACATGGCCACACGGATAACCAGATGTTTGCCATTTCATACAACTACACGTCTTTGCATTTAGATAGACCAGCCCATTTAAGTTATTATCCAGTACTTGAAACAAAGTGTTTGAACATGGTTCAACTCTCCATGACGTTGACTTCACAACACGTTTCGTTATCTTTTTTTCAGTCCATGGTGTAACACGATGTTCCAATGTTCCTGTAAATTTAAATAAACAATACTTAGTAAAATATATAAATGATAAGTTACGAATTCAAAGAAATAATACCTGCATGGTTTCTTTTCTTGTAGTACCACTGTTGAATAGAGGCTCGAAAAAACTCCATTAACATAGTAATGGGTAATTTCCGGGAATGACGACTTAGAGCGTTGATTGATTCTGCACTATTAGACGTCATGAAACCATATCTTGCTCCAAGTTGATGTACTCTTGACCATCTTTCAAACCCGACATCTTCTAGTGTTTGAGCACACTGAGGCAAAACACGTCTTAAACAGTTTATATGCTTATTGAAATCCACTTCCCGATAAGCTTTTACAGCCTTCCAGTATGTCCATTTGTGCTTTTTTATACCAGCAGACCTTGATTTTAGATTTCTATACAAATGAACACCACAAAGTCCATGAAAAGCATCTGGGAAACACCTTCTAACAGCGTTGTCAATTGAGTTTGCCCTATCAGATATGATTGTCAGATTGCTAATAGGACCTATGCAATCCCTAAGATGCCCCATAAACCATGTCCATGAATCAGAGGTTTCAGATTTGCTAACCCCGTAAGCTATTGGCAATATCCCATTGTTAGCATCCATGGCTACTGCTAATAAGTTTACTCCAAGGTATCGACCTTTCAAATGTGCTCCGTCAACTATAATAACTGGGTGCATGCAAGTAATAAACGAACGAATCTACAAAATAATATACACAAGAAATATAATCATTTAAATGTGAAATGCATGTAACTAACAAAAATGAGTCAACAAAATTATATTGATTTACTAACCGTAGCACCAATGGCGATAAACAGCAACTCAAAGTGTCCATCTCTATCTGTTTTGATATGAGTTACCGACCCAGTATTTTTCAGCTTTAAATTGTGACAATAAGCCGGCAGTTGGGCAAACGATGCTTCTGGCGACCCCCTCAACAATTCCAAGGCATAACATTTGGCTCTCCAAGCTTGAGAATATGATATACTAATCTTGAACCGAGCATTCATGTCAGTCATAATTTCATGTCCCCGATATACCATGCCATTCAAAAACATTAACTCAGCCAGAAAACCACCCAACACCTTTTTGTTTGCCTGTCTATGGTGAGGAAAAACTTGGGTTCTTGAACATGTATGTTTATCAATAAAAGTCCTAACTTGAAACATTTCGCAATCTTTTATTCTCTTTGCAATCATACGCCACGTACAGTTTTTGTCAATCATACACCTTGTTTCGAAACGATCTTTGCTTGATTTGTTAACTTTTAGTTGATAGCCATCTTCCACACATTTCGTATACAAAGCTATCTTCAAGTCTTCCTTTGTATCAAAACAATCATCTTTCTTGATACGAATAACTTTTGTGTAACAATCAACTGCTTTCTTTACCAACTCTTCTTCCGGTATATGAAGTAATTCTGGCATATTCCAGTTATACGCCCGTGGCATTTTCTTTTCTTCGGGGACTTTTTCTTCTTCTTTTTCTTCTTCAGGATTATATGAATTACAGAATGGATGTTCAACATGTTCATTCACAGTCGTAACTTCCTCCTCATTATCATCAACAACATCTTCCTCGGCAACGGGTGTTTCATCATCAAAATTCGGGTATTGACCAATATCAAAATCATTATACGCAGGATCTGTTTCTTCTTCTGAAACATCATCAAAATCCGAGTATTGACCAATATCAAAGTCCGGGTATTGACCAAGATCAAATTTCGAATACTGACTAGTACTCACAATTTTTTCTCTTGGCTCATCATCATCTAATTGGTCAATACGAAAACCGGAATTTGGTGCTGAAAGTTGATTTGGATTTGGATTAGAGAAAGGTTGGGGGTTTTGAGACCCACTTAGTTGATTACTACCCGCTACTGACCCAACAATACTACTTCTAGTTTCAACAACATACAATGTAACATCATCTTGTGAAACACTAATGTAAGCAATGAATCGTTCAACATCTTCATTGTCGGTTAACAAATAAACTTTACCATTTCTCTGATAAGATAGCCTAAATCCACTTAGGGGCTCTAAATTCAATTTCTTTGAAACACGTAGCATTAGAGTTTCATAAGTTAACTTTTGTAAAGACAATTTTAGTTGAAGATTCATGGGTAAAGGCATATATTGTAAAACACCATGAACATTATCCCATGACCCTCCAAAACACAAATCTATCCAAACATGATCAACATTAGATGATTTCATGGTTGTAAATTAATTTACTAAACAGACGAGCTGCGAAACTAAAACCTATTGCCGGATTGGGAAGGATGTCGTTGGATATAGGAACGGATGTCGCCGGAGAGAGTGATAGATGGAGATGGAATGAGTTGCGATTAAGGGATTTAGTTTATGATTTGCTGCTGTTGCGTAGTTATATACCCAAAATTTCAGTGTTGTGATTTACAGATTCTCGTTGTGATTTACGGATTATCGTTGCGATTTACAGATTCTCGTTGCGATTTACGGATTATCGTTGCGATTTACGGATACGCGTTGCGATTTACGGATACGCATTGCGATTTACGGATACGCGTTGCGATTTACGGATACACGTTGCGGTTTACGGATACGTGTTGCGATTTATGTGTTCGCGTTGCGATTTTCATATTCGCGTTGCGATTCTGGAAAATCGCAATGCGAATTTGTACTATCGCATTGCGATTTTCAAGAATCGCGTTGCGATTTTGGAAACTGATTTGCGATTCTGGGGATCGCGTTGCGATTTTTATTTCGCGTTGCGATTTTGTTGGTCATTTTGGCAAATCCAAAAAAAGTTGGTTAAAATCGTATATTATAAGGCATTTTTTGTCACTGAGGCGATTTTCTCTATATAAAAACCCTAAACCCTAAACTCTAAACTATACATTATATAATTTATTAGTATATATAAACTATATAAACTATATACACTATATGATATATATATAAACTATACAATATATATAAACTATATAGTATATATAAACTATATAGTATATATAAACTATATATTATATAGTTCATTAATATATATAAACTATATAGTATATATAAACTATATATTATATAGTTCATTAGTATATATAAACTATATATTATATAGTTCATTAGTATATATAACCTATATAGTATATGGTATATACAAACTATATATTATATAATTCATTAGTATATATAAACTATATATTAATTTATTAATATAAACATATATATTAATTGAAAGAATTAAAAATATGTAAGGATCAAATTGAACAAATTTTAAATATGAACCTTAAATTAATAAATTATAACATTAAATTTGGATTAAATTGAAAAAAAAGTTGAAATATGAAGCTTAAATTAATATATTAAATCATTAAATTTGGACTAAATTGAATAAAGTTAAAATTAAAAGATAACAATACAATGTCAAATGAAGTTAAAAAACACGCGGGTTTTCTCCCTCGCTTAAGCCACGAGGCTACGCCAACTGTGGCGCCAAAATCAGCATCATTTCCCGCCTGATGATTTTAACATAACCATGGCTTCTTTATGGTTGTCCTCTGAACTATTATCATCAGAATCTCTGGGACCGATGGATTCCTTCTCCAGATGATTTTCCTCACCTGAGCCTTTGTTTCCCTCGGCCGAACGGGTAGATACATGCGAGGCGTTTGCAGTTTGTATGAGCAAAGCTACATTCAACATGATCTGCGAGGAGCTCAAACCGGCGGTGATGAAGAAGAACACGATGCTTCGAGATGCGATCCCGGTCCGTCAGCGCGTGGCAGTTTGTATTTGGATAGGTATAGCTAGATTTGAAGACAACGATTACCCTTCTCTGTTTTTGCAGAAATAATTGGTTTTAATTTAAATTTAAATTTAATAGAATCGAATAGGTAGTAAACAATGGTTTGGGCTTTGCTTCCCGTCGATCATTCTTCAGGCAAGTAAAGCTTAATTGAAGTGCTACTATTGCTTCATTTTTGCGTTGCATTATTTTCAAGACTGAAACCCTATTCCATTTGGGCAGCTGAAGAAATAAGAGAAGAAGATAAGTACTATTTTTTCAAGAACGGAACGTATACTGTGGGTCGAAAAGGTTATCGAATTTGCTCTCTTTCACTTTCTTTTCTTTTCTTTCTGTGAGGAAATTGTTAGATTCTAATTTTTGTTTTTATTTTGCTATATTGGGGTTTGCTCTCCTTTCCTTTGTGTTTTGATTTGTTGAAGGGTGTGATGTCATCATTCACAAAGACAAGGGCGTGTCCAGTATCCATGCTCACATAATGGTCGATGGAATGACTCAATCATCTCAAGTTACAATCAAAGATTTGTCCAAGTACGGGACATTCATTAACAAGAATCTCACTTCTAACAAGAAAGTTCATCAATTTCCTAATAAACAGACCTCTCTGGAAGATGGGGACCTTCTTTCTTTTGGAACTGGAAATGCAACCTTAAGGTACTGTCAATTTAACGATTCCTTTATTTCAATGAATTCAGTGATTTCGTACCAAACGACTAAATCCTCTCACCCCTTGTATATGTTCAGATTCTCTTATGTGCCGCTTGTATTCTACATCTGCTGTGCTGAGGCCTCCCAGATGAGTCATTATCTTGAGGACAAAGTTTCATCCATTGGTTAGTTAAAATTTATCGTTTTGGCTTCAATCTTCATAAAGCTTTTTGTCTCATAATTTCACATTTAAAACTTGTTATTTTTTCTTTTAGTCTTTTTATCCACATTCCGAAAACATTAATGTTGCGTCTAGAATTAAGAGAGAAACAAAAATTGATGGAACCTGAACCTGGAGTTCTTTTGTTGTACCCTCAAGCATTTTGCTTACCATGCTAATATGGTCTGGGTGTTCGAAAAGATTGTCATTATTTCCCAGTTTGGTATGAGCAATTGTCATTATGTCCTTGTTTGATATGAGCAATAAACAAATAGAAGCTGCTCAGACAATCAACTTCTCTCAAAACTAGGTGCATTGGGGTTGAAACTAATTTTGGAATTTGCAGCAATCAGCAGAAGGAACATTTTTTATAAATGTATCTAACAACTTGAATGATCCGAGCGTTTAGCGATGGTTTCTCCACCTCTTCTGGACATTTTTAATATGTTTGGCTAGGCCTTGAATTAGAGCCCTTTTTATGTTTTTGTTACAAATGAAGATAAACTTCTATGAATCAAAGCAGCTTATTTAAGTCATTTTTATGAATTCTTCTATATTTTTGTTTCTTTAATAGACAAGCTGAAAAAGGAACAATTTACTAGCATTACTTATGCAAGGAAAACTGTAAATTAAGTTTCAATAAAATCTCAACAATGCAAAATTTTAATTTAATTAAAAAATTATAATTACACATTAGATTATTAAGTATCAACATATTATTTGTTGAGTGGCACCAAGGTTCATTGTCTATACTTTTTTTTTCTCTGAAAAGATCATTGTCTATACTTGTTCTTAAAGAATTGTCACTTTGTAAAGACACGTTTAGGGCCCAAATATTGAAACAGAATGTAGTAAACATCCTCTTAACTCAAATGGTTTTTTTTTTGCCTTGTATTAATTTAAAAAAATGATGGTACATGATGAGGTAAGTTTCAGTTACATGAAGAACTAAAGTATGCTGGAAAATGCAAAAAGAGTGAAAGAAAATATGAAGGCTTAAGCTTTTGTTAGCTAGAAATCAAATCAAGTTAAGTGTTTAACCTGCCAAAATGATGCACAGACAACTTTGTATTGCTCAATAGTTGCTGAAAGTTTTCTGTTACTGCTTGTTTGTTAATATCTTTCATTTCTTATTTCTCTTATCCGTGCTTCTATTATTTTTCAGATTATTACATTTGATAGCTATAGTGTTTCGGGTCTTTGCAACCATGGTGATGTGCATCGTGGGGTAGTGTAAGTTAAAATCATTTCATATTCTTCAACTCAATTGCACAGAAGTAACATTTTAATTGTTCATAGCATAAAGCATTAGAAGAAAATAAAATGTGTTATTGCCTACATATAACTATTTAATGATAACTCACCTTTTCCATCATTTTTTCATTATTATTTGAAAAGAGAATATTTAATTTTTCTTTTAAATTTTTAGGGTGTTTAATGGTCCCTGAAACTATTGGAATTGGAGATTATGTCTTATTTATTCCCTTCAATGGTAACTTAATATTTTATATTTATTATGTTTATTTAATAAAAGTTTCAAATAGTTCATTAATATTTTTTTTGTAGGGTGCCTTACAAGAAGCAATATTTGGTGCTTGATTCTGCATTATTCTATTTTATATTGTTTGTTTCTGTTTGATATTTTGTTTGCTTCTACTTGATATTTGTAAGGGTTTGGTAAAGTCGAAAATGTTTGACACTGTTGGCCATCGAATTCCCTTTGGCTTTACCACTGATTGTATGTTTTCTTAATGCAGTATGCTTGCTAAATTGATGCAATAATGCTTGATGAATTGGTACATTGATGCTTGCCGATTGTTGTTACCTACTCATTGATGCCTTGTAAATTATTGTTGTTGGTGTGACTTACATCAATTTTTGAACCTTATAAATTCTTATCTAAATAGTTGCTCATGTGAAATTATGTTGGTGGCATTTTGAATTTTAAAGTTAGAAAGTTGCCTATAATTAAACATGTAGGCAACATTTTGGTATACAGGCTCGATGATGATATTTCGAGTAGTATAGTTAGGCTTTTAGCCTTGTAAAACATTAACTATAAGATTTGAGAGCATTTATTTCAACATAAATTTATTTTGTTTAGTTGATTTTATTGTAATTTTAGTATTTTCAAGTATAATAAAATTAATTTCATTTATATATTTTTTGTTTTAGTATTTGTAATGTTATTTAAGTTTCAAATATTTAATAAGTTCATCATTTCAACTAATATATTTTTATTTTAAAATTTCAAGTTAAGTTATACTTAAATTATTAATCAATTTTCACATTAAAAATAAATTAGATTTATGAAAATTTTAACTTTATTAATATAATTTAATAAAATCAAGTTCAATAAGACAATATTTAAATTTAATTTAGTGATAGTAAATAATATTTATAATATAAGAAATATAAATAATATAAAGAATTGGAATTAATATAAAAATCAAATTTATAATATATATAAATTATAATTAATATAAAAACTAAATTTCAAAAAGTAATCATATTAATTTAATTATCATAAGTTTATTATAAATTTAAAATAATATAATTATATTAATTGTAACTTCACTTATAAGTCAGGATAATATTAGATCATTTTAACATGTCAGATCAATTACATGTTGAGTCAATTACATGTCAAGTTCATAACATATCAGGTTGAAAACAGGTCAGGTAATACCAGTTATTTATCAGGTTAATCTCGGGTTCGGGTTCATATCAGTCGGATGCAGTTCAGGTTCGAGTATCATATTTTCGGTTCAATTCGGGTTCAAGTCATTCTTAGGTCGGATGCAGGTCGGGTTTAGATACAAAATTTTCAGGTTCAATTCGGGTTCAGGTTAACACCAGTTCCGACTCGAATCGATTTCGGATTGCTACAGCGCAGGTCAAAAACAATTTTAACTTAAGTCGATTTTAATCAGTTTTACAGGTCGTGTCAACTTTTTACAACTTTAGTTGAAACAACTAGGTGGCCTCTTTTTGAGGCGATATTTTTAAGTTAAATGTTTAATATATCATAATAACAATAAATATATACGTCACTGCAGAACAGTGCCAATAACTTTACTGGCATCAGCAGAGCAAAAATTCAGCCTTATTGTTACTTAGCATCCAAGCAACTTTAAATTCTATGGACCAATTTTATGCACAACACTGTGGAGTCCAGAAAGTACGACTTCTGATTTAAATGAAGTTTAGAGATATTTTTATTAGTTTAATCTATTTTTGATAACATTCAAATGATTTCGACAATCCCAGAACGTTTCCTACAATGTACGAAACGCAACACCAACAACATAGAAACTTGATCTTAGCTAATCATCGGCACCATTGGAACTTCTTTGTTTCCGTGATTCATGAAACACCGTAGAAATTTGTCACAGCATAATCCTGAAAAACTGATTACAGTTTACAGAAGCGGCATGACGGTTCTGTTTCCTAGGCAAGCCCCCTAGTGACCACTGCATCCTTGATGAGCCTAAGTGATTCCACGATGTCCTCACACAGCTGGTGAGGGTTTGGATTTGTTCCATCGTCCACCGATAGGACAATCGCCATCTTGTCGATATAACTCTGGAAGTTGGTCATCAATGCCTGCAGTTTAATTTCAGTAATCACATCAGCAGCCGATAATTCGACCGGACAACAGCGTAGCTATTCTCAAATGAAAGACTTACATGAGGTTGACTATAAGAACTAGGAGCAAGGAAAGCCAGGGGGTGACCATAAAAACCAATTTCCTCCAAAGGTCCAACCAGATTCGAGAAGGACATCGTTGTGTGAGACAAAATTCTATGGGACAAAGTACTAGCCGTCTGTTTTCAGCATTGGAAAACATACAAACTGATAAGAAATCAGTGAGGCAACTAAGACTAATTAGAAAGATTGAAATTAACCTTGACGCCAAAAATCTTGAGTGCTAACTCAGCAATGGAGAAAGTGAATATAGCTTCAAACGAGCGTTTCTTTCTGTCAACGAACATAGTATAATGGATCGTCCCTTAAAGCGATGGTGAAGGGGAGCAGAACATAACCAATCCAATTGCCCCACTTTCCTTCAGCATCCTTCTCCATCATATCAGCTGAAGCCTAGCATGCATGCATGCATTAACATGTTTAATTAAGATTATTTAAGAGAGTTTGTGGAAAAAAGATTATTTAAGAGAGATTAGGGGCAGAAATTAATCACTAAATAATTTGAGCGAAAGCTACTAACCTGGATTCCTGCAGATGGTCTTAGGTTGATGAGCAAAGTTGATCAGAGGCGAATTTTCTTGGGAAGATTATCCTTTTCTATTGCTCCGTCATCTTTGTTTTTCCCACCTAATTAACAAGTGAAAGAAAAAAATCAATCCTTCCCGTTTCAGCCATAAGCTGCATGGTAGTGATAAATCTTACCATATATTCTGTTGATATAGCGGGACAGACCAGCCTGTGTAATCCCCAAAGCAACATCGTTTATGGTCTGCAGATTGAAATTTTATTAATTTCTTTTTCTGCAATAACTGAAATTTTCTTCCTAATGCAACACATGGACTTAAGTTTTCATTGCATTCTTCACCAACTTGATATCATCCAATCTAACTGCCCTGTAAACAATTCGACGAGGATTGAACTCAGATCTGGGCGGACCCTTGAGAGGGTTCTGAGTATCTTTCAAGAATAATGTCGTGGCAATAAACATGAAAACATCAACCACAGTATTCCGAAACACCTGAAACAAAGACCAAAGCATGAACATAATTCTCCAAAACCATCTATCATCATCCTTCTTCTCTTGCTTCATCTTGACTGGGATAGTAGGCAACGCCAGAGGATCCTTGGTCTGGCGAATGCAAGCGAGTAGAAGAGACATGAGAGAAGTGCCGTCGCCAAAGGAGTGATGGAGCCTGAAAACACCAACCGCCTCAGATTCTGGGGATCTTAAGTTGAACAAATGGAGGTCCCAAAGAGGCTGCGATTTGTCGATGCTGGTTTTGCTCAGGTTGTAAATGTAATCCTCAAGGAACTGTTGGGGTCCAACTTTGGAACGATAACATGTTTTTCCAAATCCACTTCGGTTCTAACCCATTTCATTTCTCCCTTATTTCTCTCATACACCACCTGACATTTTTACCATATTAGCGACCTAAAATGAAGTAGAAAAAATTGCATAGAAACTTGTTTGAGATACCTGCAAACTAGAGAAACGAGGGTGTCTAAGCAAAGTATGGCCCAAATTGGCTTTGACGACGTCTGGGTAAATTCTAGTCTTACACCCAATGATGGCTATAACATAAACGTTGAAGGTTGGTTCGTGAAAGAGACGAGATGAAGGGCTCAATGGCTCTTCTTTAGCTGTTTTTTGGCTATTCTCATTCTCTTCTTCTGCTTCTCGTTTGGTTGCTGATGAACTCGTTGTTTTAATCGGTTAAAGAGATTGCTTCCTCCATTTGAGACCATTACTAGATTCCATTTTTACCTCACAAAAGCTGTTCCCACGAAATTCTTTCTGGCAATTAACAATGGAAAGGAAACAAAACTAACTATGAGCAGTGCAGGGGTTTGGAGTTTATCATTTATCATTACTAGAATAAATTAGAAGGAATGCATATCGATAAACTTGTATAAATTATTTTGATTCACAGATTAACAGATATCGCTCATGTTTATAAACAGGGACGTGCAGCGACAAGAGTACAGGGACATGATTGCTAGAAAACTAGTGAAGTGAATGGCTTGTCCCGAAAGAAAATATGTGATTCCTAAATTATAAATCTGATGACTTATACTGCAATCTCATCCCATATTAATAATTTTACATTGATTTTTTTTCTAAGGGAAATTGTTCACAAATGATGACGATTTTCCTCTAATATTATATTTTTTGGAATGGCTTAATATAAAAAAAATGTCTGAATTATATTGTCTTTTTCATTTAGGTGTTTAAAATTTTTTAGTCAATATAAGTGTCTAACGATACAAACGTTATCATTTTAAGAGTCTCGACCGTAACGGACATTAAAAAAATTCTATCTCTTTAAAATGCTCACCAATCACTGCTTCAAACGACCAAAAGCCGATGCGTAGCCAAATAGCGGGCCAAAGGGATTCAAAGAAATTTAGGGATTATAAATTGAGAAAGTCGACTCAGTGACCAAAAATGCCTTATAATATACGATTTTAACCAACTTTTTCCGGATTTGCCAAAATGACCAACAAAATCGCAATGCG